AAAAAAAAAACAGGGAGGGAAACAAAAACATAAGAGACTCAAATATGGAGAACAAACAGAGGGTTCCTGTAGGGGTTGTGGGCTACACAGGTAAGGGGGCATTAAGGAATCTACTCCTGAAATCATTGTTGCACTATATGCTAACTTGGATGTAAATTAAAAAAATAAAAATAAATAAAAAGAACAGAAAGACAGTACTCTGAAGCAGGAGAGCATCCGGAAATAAGCAACTAAAATAGTCAAGGAGATCTGGTGGCATAGCAAGTAGCAAATTTTGCTGTGCCATGAGTGACAACAGGAAATGGGGATAATTTGGCTTGAGAAAGGTGATTCTGCAGTTGGTCTTCCAGTTAAACATGAAAAATTGAACACATGCTTATTTGTGGTCCCATCTGAAATACTAAATGAGGGGAAAAGGAAGGGGAAAAAGGAAGGGGAAAAAGGAAGGGGAAAAAGGAAGGGGAAAAAGGAAGGGGAAAAAGGAAGGGAGGGAGGGGGGAAAGAAAGAATTCCCAAGGGCAAAGAGAACTGGGAAACAGACAAAAGCAACAACAAATTTTTGGAAAACAGAAGGCACATGGAAGAGTTCAAGGGAGCTTATTACCAAGCGCTAACAGAGGGAAGGCCCATGAAAGCAAAATGATTCATACTGCAGAACCCCAGAAAGGCTTAGGAACTGGCAATTCAGGCATCACAGAAGAATGAAAAGAGGGGGACTGCATGAAAACCTCTGTGAGGACCCTTAGATCACCTGCCAATTTCCTCCACCCAGTCTTCTCCAGAGAGAAGACTTTCCAATACTGATGTTTTAGAGTCCTCCAAAGAGACCACGAGATTCCTACCCAGTATCCTTGAAGTGAAGTCTATCAGCTCACAAGGCCCAGCCAGGCATACAGAGCTTTCACCGATTTATGGTTGTTGTTTTTTTAAATGTTTATTTAGGGGCACCTGGGTGGCTTAGTCGGTTAAGTGTCCGACTTCAGCTTAGGTCATGATCTCACAGTCCGTGAGTTTGAGCCCCGCGTTGGGCTCTGTGCTAACAGCTTGGAGCCTGGAGCCTGCTTCAGATTCTGTGTTTCCCTCTCTCTCTCTGCCCCTCCCCTGCTCATGCTCTGTCTCTGTCTCAAAAATAAATTTAAAAAAACATTAAAAATTTTTTTTTAATAAAAAATGTTTATTTTTGAGAGAGAGAGAGAGAGCAAGAGAGAGAAAGGGGCAGAGAGGGAGACACAGAATCTGAAGCAGGCTCCAGGCTCTGAGCTGTCGGCACAGAGCCCGATGTAGGGCTGGAACCCATGAACATGAGATCATGACTTGAGCCAGTCGGACACTCAACTGACTGAGCCATCCAGGTATCCCTCACCAGAGACAGAATAAAAGCCTCTAACATGACCGAGACCAAAACAAACAGGAAAATGAATCTAAAAGAAACTGAAAGGAACAGAGGACAACTTCAAAAATACAGCAATTAATATTCTCAAGTAAAAGAAAATCATATAGATGTGAAACAACAGGATGCTATTTAAAAAAGAAACATGATGGGGCACCTGGGTGGCTCGGTCGGTTAAGCCTCCGACTTCAGCTCAGGTCATGATCTCACAGTCTGTGAGTTCAAGCCCCGCGTCGGGCTCTGGGCTGACAGCTCAGAGCCCAGAGCCTGTTTCAGATTCTGTGTCTCCCTCTTTCTCTCTCCTCCCCCGCTCATGCTCTGTCTCTCTTCTCAAAAATAAATAAATGTT